TTTTTTGCGATTAATTGAACACAGAATCCACAGTTAGGTAGATATTGAGCTGATAATCATACAGAATGTGTAGTATAGGCTTACCGTCCATATAAAGTTGGTTTCATTCAAAAATATTGATATTTGACCAATTTATGGGCCAAAATCGACCAAATTTGGTGCATATACCCAAATATGGGCATATGGTTTTTGGCTCATAACTCAGTCATTTTTTGTCCAATCTTGATGAAAATTCATATACGAGTTCAGGGGACTACTAGCTACAAGTAAAGCACCTAAAATCTGGGTTTTGGGCATGTTGAGGGTATTTGGCTAAATTGGGCCTAATTTGGACCAAATATGGGCGTGGCTGCCCCGCGGGCACCGTTTGGCGGTTGGGGTCCAACTGCTATCTCGAAACCAAGTTTCACAAAAAAATCAGGGTGAACTTGAACTCAAAAACTTGAACTCAAAAAAGGTAAACCTCAACTTTTGAAATAGACTGACCACTCCTGAGACACCCCGCCCCCACCGGCCACCCCCCTCCCTCCCCCCCCCCCCGCCCCCCCTAAATAATTATTCTTTCCCATTATTTGAAATTCCTCCTTTTGCCTTAATTTCCCTTTAGAATCCCTAAATTCAGAATTTGTAAACCGCAATTTTCAACAATACTGGAGAAAATCTCAGTTAGTATCGATCCTAAATGGCCATCTTCAATAATCAATAACCTTTTGATCCCTTTTTCGACAGTTCAACTGATCAGCCACTAACATAATAGATGGGTTTCAATAATGCATTATTTGTGAGCTATTTATCCAAATCTAATCTAACACTCCCCAATAGTTAACATGGCATGTGGTGCAACACTGAAGAGAAGGCATGATTGCATCACTGAAGCACCAGAATTGCCATTAAAGAGGCGCAGATTTGTGCCCAGCCAGGAAGTGATGGCACCCTCTTCACCCTCCAGCTCTCCCCCTCCTGCTCGTAGTTCCTCTTCTTCTATCTTCCCTTCCCTTATATCTCACATGACACCAGGTAATACAAGTGCTTCAAAAACTGGTTTTGTTTGCATTCTTCTAATTGAATCACGACCATATAATTTATTACATACTACTGTTGATAGTTGTGTTGTTTTGGATTGCAAAGATTGCGTTTTACCTTAGGATATTAAATAGTAACGTTCGTGACCCGCAGTTTCCACTATCAAGGTAGTGTGGTTATTACAAACTTATAATCTTATAATCACAATTCATCTCCCCAGAGCAGCTATCAAATAGTATAATGGCAGAGCTAGCGCGAACGCGTCGCAAATCTGGGGACGACGGAGCAATATCCACACGACAACTCCAACAGACATGTGCTCGACTCCTCCTGGAATTTGAATCCCAGATCAGATCCGAATATGATAGAATATTGTCAGACAAGTTATCCGGTTGGTTTTTATCAATTTTCAATTCTCGTTCACAATTAGGTTACGTTTAAAACAAGGTGCCACCAGCACTCAGCAGGTACAGGTGTGACTCCTACACTGGATGGCGTAAGCTTTAATGGTATCATTTCTCTTATTTTAACAACATATACCTGGAGTAACCCCTGAAATGTAGAACCGACCTCTCTTAACAATTCAACACATGTCCAAACATGTACCATTATTATGATGTTAACAGCTGACTGCAGTGTCACTCGTCATTATGTCGCACCAAACTACTTAATACTCATCAACACTCCGTAGCCAGGCGGCATCCGTCCGTAGCCAGGCGGCATCCCTGCTGAATAGGACCCACAATAAATCAGTATCAAATCAGTAGATAATTATCGCGTCTGTACTGTTGTTGATAGTTTCTAAGTTTCATGGGTGTCTTCAGACTTCAGTCTTGATTTAACTGTGCCACGATAAGGTATCAACCTTAATTACTAAGCTTTATATCCTCTGTGTAATAAATGATACCATCACAATGAAGTGTGACACAATTGACAATTGACATCATCTTTAAGAGTTTAAATGGTATATATGTAGTACTATTATGAACGTGACTTCAACGACGCAATATAATGACAGGCAATATACCGTCTGTTCTCTTAGCATGTGTGTACATTATTTGAAATCTTAGAAAATAACGACTGTAATCCGGACATTGATGCTGTACAAAAAACAAAGCCACTTAAAATTATCTTAACCCAGTACCAGTGATCAGAGTTGGGGAAGTCGCCCAATAAAAGCTACCCAATAAATACCGCTATATTAATTGTTAGTTCGTGTCACCAAAACGTGTCATGACGTCACTTTACGTCTTCTCCCGACATTGTTAGAGTGAGCTCTTTCTTTTAACTCACACATCTACACACTGTAAAATGTGTGTAAATTGTGTGTGCACTACATTATGTGTGTTGCGCTATTTCCTGTACTATTATCTAATAGTGGGTGACCTGTGTAGTGTGTGTGTGTGTGTAGTGTGTGTGTGTGTGTGTATTTTCATTACTATTGTGCAAAACTCGTCTGATCTCTGAGTAAAACACAAGCTTGTTGTGAAAATAAACATAGAGTTGTCAAGATTGTGCACGTTAAAGTATAACTGAGACGAGAGTTGAAACACTATCCCACATCTTTATTCAATTATGTGATTTGTGAGACAAAAACTTTGTGCAACCTTCGTCTCCCTCGTGAACACCCGGATGTATAGCACTATCAAGCCTTGTACAAGGAGGAGCCCATGTCGGCTAGCACAGCTCTGATTTTAGCTCTAAGTTGATATGAATTACTCTGTAATTTAGGTCATAGCAGATGTTCTAATTATATACACTGAACACTGCCACATATTGTTGAATTTTGTTTGACATGTAAATATAACGCGTGAGTGTGTGTGATTAGTGGATCAAGGTGATCGTTCTGTGTACGTGCACTCTAATGAGACCACACTCTATAACAGAACCCTGCTAATTATGAGGCTGGGTTCTCTTTATTTGTGGGGTCTCTTGAGACTGTCATATCCGTTATTAGCCTGCGCGCGTCGAGACGCGCAGATAATAAACTAACAATATGGTGCTTTCATGCAGGCTTTGAATAGGAAAAGTACGATGTTGAAGCGATCTATGAGCGCCGCATGCAGTACAGTGCGCTGCAGCGCGCGCTTGCCTAGGGCGATTTCTGTTATTTAAATCAGATCGGTACCGTCTCGGATTTAGTAATGTCAACTGTAAACAGCTAATCCAACAGCCCGAAAATGCTAATCCGAGACCAAATTATACTGCCGGATCATCTGGGTTCTGGTATATTGGCCGGTCTAAACTTTTCCTAAACTACGAATTTAACTTTTAACATCCCGTTTAGGGAGTCTCGCTTTTTGACTGGATTGTCTTAATTTTGTGTGCACAGGTTTGAATGAACTGTTCTGTCGCATATTTTAAATTCCTCACTACTAATATGCTTAGTCCTACATCTGACATGATGAAAATGTATCTTTGTAACATTTAATTTGGAAGACTAACTTGAACATATATTTCAGAGCAGTACGAAGCCTTTGTCAAATACACCCAGGACCACCTTAGGACCAACAAATCATCCTCTCATTCCATGTCCTGTAAGTGAATCATCTATTCAATTATTTTCCTTTATAAATAGTCCTTCCCGGATATCTTGGGTCCCAAGAAAGGTGATATAATATGGTGAAAGGCAGAATCATCTCAAAATTTCTGAAGATGATTCACTTGTTTGAATGAAGTTAATATTATCTCATCCCAACTCTTTCAGATGTCTCCTAGAGCGATCTTACCCCAAGATCAAGAGTGACTTACCATGTACAGTTCATAACTTATTTTGCTAAAACTTCTTAAAACTTGGAGATTTTACTTCAACCTCCCCTTCAAATTCATTAACTAGTACTAACTGGGTTATGGATGTGAGCGCGTCGATTAGTTATATATACGATTTATTTTGTACCATATTTTACAGTTACAAGGTTTCTTTACAACCTTGAAAACCTTTTTTCTAAGCGTGGGACCTATTATATATATGTATTATTGTTATAATATTCGTTAATATATTAAATACAATCCTTTTAATTAATATAAAAGCTATCTCGGGAAGCTCAGTAATATTTTGTAGATCAATTAACTTGTTAGGACGTTGTTTTAGGTGAAGTCCAGAGACATTTATAACATTTTGCCTGCATGCTCACCCTATGTGCTGTGATTTCTAGGATCGAGATTTGCTTTGGTTACCGGAATTCCGGAAACCTTACCGGACATTTCCTTTAAACCATATTTTAATCTACAAATATCTTCCGCGATCTTCATGATGGTACCCAAAGCAATCTCCGATATAATCGTTTCGTTTTATTTATTGACATATATTAAAACGAAATAACCTTGTACCCTTTGTATTTGTAAACGTCGTCACAAACACGTTAAAGCAATCTCTTAAATGTTGAGGGAACGAATGAAAGCAGGCTATTCTAATTCAGCTGTGCTAGAACTTTCTTGTGGAGGCACTTTTCTGGAAGTGTGTGACTACCATATTGTTACCATATTATTTACTATCACGGAATGAGTGAACTGAACTGAGGTCGTGTTCATCATTGGTTGGAATGTTGCGGCGTGTAACGAAATATTGTCTGGAATTACACCGCAGTTTATTGCTATCTGGCATTAGAGATTTTAACATTGCACACAATCACCCACACGACAAGTTGCAGAATTTTTTCCGAACATCTTTTTGATTTTTCCTCTCACGTTCGAGGGTGGTAAGTGGGTGGTTGTGTTCAAGTGCGTATGGTTGATTAAATAAAAGTTTCATAAAATCTATCGTTTGACTGCTTTGTTCTTTACATCAATAATAAGTCCCATTAATACCTTGTTTGGCTTTTCAACATCGTATCTGATCCGCCCTGTTAGGGAACAATTACCCATCATTTATAAAATTTGAGACTGGTCGGTCGTACTAATAATCTCTCGAAAGCAATATACAAAATCAATAGAATATTTTAATTCTAAATGAAAATTACGCTAAACTTGCTTCTATAGCTCTCAACGTTATGACGACGACGGCTGAGGCGCCCAAACCCTCCGAGGAATGGAACACCTTCCTGAGCCAAGTGAAGGCTATTGAGAAGAAGGACAGTAATATGACATCAGATCAGCAGATAGAGCGGCTTCACAAACCTGGAGCCAAATACCTCAACCTTAACCCTTTCTATGTGAGTAACTGCTGATATTCATTTAAATTCTTCTTCTGTAACACCGAGTGAACTTTATCTCTTGTCTATCCAGGATAATTGCTGTACTTTGTAAAACGTACAGAACTTCCCTGTATTTCCATGTTCACAAATGTGACTTGGTTTCTTTTGGGTCCCGCTTCTAGGAGACTGTATTTAGAAAAATCATTCCAATTTCAAGCCCCAGTTATCAATCAGGTATTACAAGTAGACCCAGACGCAACAGAAGACGAGTTGAAGAAGCAGTACCGGAGATTATCAATACTCCTGCATCCAGATAAGAACCCTAATAACAGAGATCAAGCCACTGGCGCTTTCGAGGTTCGTCTCCAGCCTGTTCTTTGAACAAGAGTTTTCTAAAATTAGAGAAACCAGTTTTTAATTTAAAAGCAGGGCTTAACCTTAGAATTTCCTGGCTATATTGTTGGATCTGTATAGTAGATTAGTAGTGGCGATTTAGAATATTCCTTTTTGCGGAGAAATTAGTTTAATCATTTTTTGTTCAGGTCGTCAGTAGAGCAAACAAGCTTCTTCAGGAAAAAGAAACATCAGACAAATTCAAACTAATCTTAACTGATGCAGAAAACAGAGTCCTCAAAATGGTGAATTTAAATGTTACTCTCAAAATACATTGTTTTTAACCCTTTTAACTGTATATATTATGTTTGAATAAATCTGAATGAATTTTCATAGAGATACGCTGTTTTTATAAGATAGCGGGGGCCGTTAAGCCTCTAACCGCCCGCTCCTAGGTATAGAAGAAGGGGACTGATCTACCAGTCAGGTAAGACAAAACTACGGACTCCCGGGACGTTTCCTGGAACGTTTCCTTAGATTATATTATAGTTTTAGTGGTATCTAGGACTCAGTTTGTTTTTACCTGTTTCTTTCTTTTTTTCTTGCCCTTTACTGGAGTCTATCGCATGAAAATATTTGAATTGCTAGTAAACATGAAGTAGCTGATTTTACCCCTGATTTGATGGTTTTTTGTCAGTGTGATGTCCGTGTGTTTGTTTGTGTGTTCATCCAGTGTTTTCATCGAGCGATCTACTTCAGATGGAGGACAAGAGAAAGGAAGCTAAGTGTAAGAGCCTACCTCCACCTGTTGAAGACCCTTCTAAGGTCAGTGCGGTTAAAGTTTAAATCTACCAATGATATGTTATTGCCTCTATTTATGAATTTATCATGTAAACATTTCAGCGGTGATTCAGTTCTTGGCGACATATATTTTGGAGAACTATATTTTTTGTAATTAAATAAGGTTAAGGCTATTATATCGATGGAAAACTGAAACTCTCCTCTTCAGTTTGGTCATCTGGTAAACGTAATGGCAAGTAAGCAACTAGCGGACTACGAGATACGTCGCGGCGACAAGGACAAGAAGGAACAACAAGAAAAGTAAGGAGTATTTTCTGCTTCAAAACCTTCGAAAACGTAAAAAGTTTGTTTAGTTGAGGAGTTTATAGTTTATAGTTCACCACGTACTACGTAGGGACATTTATTCAATCATCTTCTTTCAGAAAACGGGAGAGCGATGCTGCCGAGGAGTCAGCCAAGAGGTTGAAGAAACTTGAAGACGATAAAAAGAAATGGGAGGTAAGCACACTTCCTTCTCCTTCTGGAACGATATGTCACTAGGAACTTACACAGCCGCGAAAAGCTTTTTATTATCTTTATCGACACGAAATCTCGATAAAAATGTTGGAAATATGTTGAAATTAATTTGGAATCTTTAATCGTTGGTCAGCAGGTGGGATCTCTCATCGCTCGGGGGATTTGACCCCAGGGATATACTCTTGTATACTTAAGAGTATACAAGAGCCCCCCAAAATGCCATTGCATCCTTCATTTATAAGTATTTTATAATGATATGTTGGTTGAAAAATTGGTCTTCTAACTTATGATAACTTCAGGAATCAAGAGAAGAAAGAGTGACAACGTGGAAAGATTTCCAGAATAAGGGAGAGAAGAAGAAGAAGAAGAGGCATATGTTAGGCACCTTCAAACCACCCAAACCAAGATTAGAGGAACGCTAAAAATGTAACATATTTATTTTTAATATCATAACTATCATTCAGTGGACAGTGGAATTTTAATGCTGTATTTAAGATCGATTCGTTATTGAATGTCGCTGGTTGGCAGCTGTGTCTTTGTGGTAAAAGTCACAATTTTACAGACAGCTTTGGGAGTCTGAATTATAAAATAACCGTGTGAAAGTAGTGAATAATTTGTTGATATTTAAAATTTAAGTAATATTTAAAGTTTAGTCCCGGTACTGGTGAATAAACAGCGTAAAAATTTCAAGGAGGCCTCCCTTTTTAATTTTTGATTGTTAACCTTGTCCAAGAACGATAATAATGTGCAAATCATTGGTGATTGACTCACCAACAATTAAAGTAATTTTATTGATGCTTATAAAGTTATAAACAACAAATCGCTCACATAAAATGTAAGTTTACGTGAAATATGAACAATCCCTTAACTTTAACAAGCTGAACCATGTTTGTGGGCAATGTTATCATTTTTATCCAACCTGTCTGATTTAACTTTTTAAAGTTCTTAATAAATAATTGTGTTTTCTTGAATTCTGGCTTCATTTGAATCCATTTCGTTGCATCTCCAGAAACTTTGGTTGTTAAAGTAACTCCCAAATGAGTTCAAGTCCATTGGCTTCGTACGTATAGTAGCGGCACATTCGCTCCTTCTACCTTACCCTCTGTAGATTCTATCACTTATACCATGCAATGGTTCATCTACCAAAATGACTTGCTTGAAGAGTAGATTGGCGTTCAAAATGCGTTGTGAACTATTTATTCTGTATCCATGTAGCACTCATGGTGGTAACTTGAGAATAATCAACAGTATATATACCATATCGGACGTTACTTGACCGGATATTGCGTGAACGAACGCCGCTAGGGCATCTAGCGTCTAAATAATGTCTGTTCAAATAAAGGGTAACACGACTCTTGTCCGAAAGCGACATCTGTCCGAAAGCGACATCTGTCCGAATCAGGGTACCAGAAAAAAACGACATCTGTCGGGGGGAATGCAACGTCAATTAATGTCAGTATTCCATGAAAACCCCAAACTGACATTGACATTAATTGACATTAATTGACATTAATTGACATTAATTGACATTAATTGACATTAATTGACATTAATTGACATTAATTTGTCTTGAAATGTGAGATTATCATTATTCGATAAATATTCAAGATATTCACGTCTATGTAAGTTAGACCGGTTCAAAAAAACAAAATGTCCTTGAATAATTATGAGTATGTTCTTATCTGTTGATCCTTAGGTTTAAAGACCACCAAAAAAATTTCAGCTTCCAACTCTTCCATCTTCGGTCCCCACCGGCCACGCCCATATTTTATTGGTTTCTTATACAGGTAAAATATCTAAAATCGGCTTTTTTAGTATGAAGGAGTAATGTTAGCTGTTTAAGATTCGTTATTCAAACATAAATGTCATGAAGGCATTTCGTTTAATGTGGGTTTTAAGTTCTGATGATGTTGAGAACCACGCCCTTGGATGGCCACGCCCATTTAAGAAAATTAAATTTCGGAAAACCGTATTATTTTAATTTTATTGTTTAATTATCTGAATTTTTTTCACATTTCACATTTCCATATGTGATAGTAGTGAATAAATTGATGATATAAACGTTCTAAAGTGCTAAAAATATGGTAGAACTACATAATCTCTGGTCGAAAAATATCGTGTCAATTAATGTCAGTATTCCAAAATTTTGCAAAACTGACATTGACATTAATTGACATTAATTGACATTAATTGACATTAATTGACATTAATTGACATTAATTGACGTTGCATTCCCCCCCATCTGTCCGAAATTGTGACCTGATTTCAATACGACACATTTCCAATTAGAGACATGATCTAAACTGTTACTTGCTAAATTGTATACGTAACATGTTCAATTAGAGATATGATCTGAGCCATAGTTTACTACCACAGTTTATTTTAATTTGATGTCGATAAATTGGACAATAGTTTCAATGTTATTTAAATGTTATAAATTAATTCAATATAATACAGGGGGGGGGTCCAAGGGGAACTTTGGGAAAGTCCCCCAAGATTTCTGAAGTTCCCCAAAAAAAAGTTCCCCAAAACTCCCCAAAATTCCCCAAAATTATTCAAAATTATTCAAAATTATTCAAAATTATTCAAAATTATTCAAAATTATTCAAAATTATTCAAAATTATTCAAAATTTCTCTAATATACATTAATACCCATTAATGTTAACATGTATGTTATTATAAAGTATAATCTTAACTTACTTGTTGATACTTGCAGCATGATAATTTTTTTGGCATGATAATTTTTTTGGGGAACTTTGGGGAATTTTGGGGAACTTTCTGAAGTTCCCCAAAAAAAAGTTCCCCAAAATTCCCCAAAATTATTTGTTTCATTGATAATTTTTTGGGGAACTTTGGGAAAGTCTCCCAGGTTTCCTGAAGTTCCCCAAAAAAAAGTTCCCCAAAACTCCCCAAAGTTCCCCTTGGACCCCCCCCAATACAATATCACAGAATCAAATCTAAAGCATAGTCAAATTTCCGATAGCTTTAAGGAAATCCATAGGGTTGCTGTAGTTGTCGTAATCATCTACAATTCTCTGAAGTTGTCGATCATAACGGATCCATTTGGGTGCACGTGGCTCAGGTAGTTCCCGCCCGTCTCTTTTGGTTTTCTTCACGTCAAGGGCGGCAGTATCGAGATAGCCCGACCACTGGTCCGCGGACCACTGTCCGCGGACCACTGTCTACCAGATCATATTACTGTATAATAACAGTATCCCCTGAATCAAGCAGGGTTCACATCATCCCCTGAATCAAGCAGGGTTCACATCATCGCACGCGAATTCCAATCAGCGGTGGTGTCAAGGCTTATTAAACGATTAAGCAACCTTACGAGATCAGTTCACATCATGCAATATATAAAGAATAACTATTATCAGACTGCATCAATCATTTCTATCATCAACTCCTTCTTGAACAACTACAACTATAGTCTCAGAGAAAATATCTTCCAGTCAGACACCGCGTTTTCAGAAAGTCCAGTCATCTGTGATACCGCAATGCCAGCTAGTCCTTTTATACTCAAACAGAACAGCAGTTGTATGAAGGTCTTGAGAGCGAGCTTCTGTCCAGAGAGGATGCTGTCTGTTCTAATATTCTTGTACTTCTTGCAGGGGGAGCAGCGCCATATCAGTCCATCTGGAGACTTCGAGGACGAGCAGGGAACCAGGGACATAGATGCATTACACCCAGGACAGGACATGGAGCTCTCCAGTAATTTACTACGCTACAATTAATTATGCTAGTCGTAACTAATTGCATCCAAGATACCATACATATGATCTGGTAACCAATCAACTATTCACAAACACCTGTTGCTTGATTCAGGGGATACTGTTATTATACAGTAATATGATCTGGTAGACAGTGGTCCGCAGACAGTGGTCCGCAGACAGTGGTCCGCGGACCAGTGGTCGGGCTATCTCGATACTGCCGTAAGGGCTTGTAGGAGGATGTAGTTTGCAGGAATGGAGAGCGTTTCCAGATCTCTCGGGTTAGAAGGGTGTCTGTTAGCTGCTTCTCTGTACCATTCTGTTGAGGGATGACAGCTGGCAGCCAAGCTTTGCTCTAGATTCGTAACCCAATCCACCGACTGCTTCAGATAAGAGGTATTTCGTCGGTTGATCTCCACCAGAAGCCTTTCTTTTCAAGTTCTGTTTGCTGACGTGGACGGTCGTTTCAGCATGGTGGACAGGGTGAGTGTGGTCAGGAGTAGGAGTGATCAGTTGTCTGTCCACGGTACGGATGCGGGCTCTGCAACCCTTTCGGAATTCCGAACATTTCCAGTAGGAGGTGTCGTTACTTCGCTTGTCGAAGACGTATCTGAAGCCATTTAGGATAGGGTTCTCCGAGCCTTGTTTGCGTCCAGGGATAAACTGAAGATTGGTTGCCATTGTGGATTGCGATAAGTGATCTCCATACTGCTGTCCTATATGTACTCATGTCCTGTGATGTGATCGACAGCTTGTTAGGGTACGGCTAGCACGATCCTGTTCTCAACTAGTCAATCACGTATCGATGGATCAGATCTTAAGGGATCACATCAGCTTTAGAACGTCACGAGATTACCTGTGAGTTTGTGAAATGCGAATGTGAACCGAAATTACAATATGATCCGAAATTCGGACAGATGTCGCCTTGACATACGTTGCATGCCACTTTTCGCGCGCGAAGCGCGCGCCGCCGAAGGCGGAAAAATAATAATATCTCTGATATTTGGATACGAAACATGTATCAAATGTCGCCAACAACGACTCCTGTCCGACAGCGACATCTGTCCGAAATCCCTAATTCAGCTTTCGGACAGATGTCGCTTTCGGACAGGAGTCGCCCAATCCAAATAAAGTCTGATAACGGTAACACAAATGATACCATCTTGTTGTTGAGTAATCTTGATGATATAATATGCGCATACTATATCAATGTACTGTCATGTACTGTCATGCAATGTACGTCGCGTAATTAAAATATATTTATTTGTTGTGATGCGCTAAGACCATTATCATCAGAAACGTGCGCGCTACGTTGCCAACATTTTATACGGTGACTGTCCCACGCAATTGTGCGATTTCACATCCTTGTTTTAAAGTTAACATACAAACCCGAACATCCCAAAGCAGTGGTACAACCTTACCATTTGGTTCAACCCAGCTGAAATTTGTTGGTGCTCTTTTCCAACAAGAAATGCGGCCGCTTTTCTTTTGTGGATGGCCGCTCAATTTCCCGATCCGTGATGGCGTATTTATCATATTCCATACAACCTGGGGACGACCCAGTCTTTACTGTTTATATAAATTATAAAAATGCAAATATGGCGAAGTGACATGCCGACTGCCGAGCGCCGCCGAGTTAATATAATTCTATATTGAATTTGAAAATCGTATACTTCTATGTAACCATATGTTTTTTGTTTATGCAACCTGACACGGATCTGTGCAAAATAGTAATACTAACTCAAAATAATAATAATATGCTATCAATTAGTGCCTAGTGGGATACGTACATGATGAAATTAATAATGTACTTGGTTGGTTCAGCGCCGCGCGCCAACAATTATATAATTCAGATTATCACGCAAAATAACTTTGCGCAGGTAGTCACGTGGGCGATAACAGTGCTCGCAGGCACGCACGGTCGCAAAGCTACCATATTTAAAAAAAACCTCGATCGCTAACCCTTGTCCTTGACTCTTTTGTGCCTTCGGCACCTTTGAGTCATGGATCGGGAAAAAATTTCTGATATCACCCTCCATCCTCAACTGGTCAACATCCATTGGAATTTGAGACAAGTAAAATAGCAATTTAAAATGGAATCTAATTCGTCGACATGTTACAATGTACAAAGATTTACACAATTTCAACCTGATCATCGCGATACAGGTATTAATTTACCTCCCTGAGGTGTTCTACTGCGGTGTTCTACTTCAGGTATTCTACTTCAGAGGGAAGTAATTTATTTTATATTTTAAAATTGTTATTAATCCAGTATAACAAATAAATTTTCTAATCGTGTAAAAAAATCGTGTAAATTTGCCTAAAAATGATGGACATTTTGTTAAGATTCTCACAAAATCGCAAATACAGACATTACAAAATTCGATAATACAGCATAATATCCGAAATTTTAAAAAACCGGCCACAATGAATAAAAAATAAAATTAGCCACGGAACTTAAATAAAACAGAGACTAAAAACAACAGCTAGAATAAAGAAGTCAAATACAAGTTTGCAACTTTTATTCCCGAATAAATGAGTAACGATGCCGTCATGCCGCCTCTTCTCCAAAGTTCACGGTACTGTCTCTACTCAATAACTAACTGACCTATTGGAATTTCGTCACCATCAGGAATGTGATATTCGTAGTGATCTGCCCACTCCTGTACATAGCCGTACTTTTCCGTTATCGTACTCGTCAGATAGTCTGGAGAATAAAACTTGTTTTAAATTTAGCCTTATTTAATACATGAGCCATGCTGTGATATAGTGTCCAAACAACCTGGTAGATTCAATTAAGGGCCTACCGCTCATTTGATTTGATTACAATAAAACAAAAAGATTGTAATTTTGAAACTCACTCTGGACGGTTTTTAACTTATCTTCCCTTGAGATGCTGTCATCTTCAACTACTTTCTTTACTTGTCTTTCTAGGACACCCAACTCTTCGCTTGTAGTTCTACAGTGTTCTTCATCTACAATGTCCTGAAGTACGAATAGAAGAATTAATTAAGAAACTAATTTGTAATGCTCTGTCAAATATGTGCTTTATATGTTTATAGCGGTTATGCATGTTTTGTTTGCATGTTTCAGTAAAGGAATGTTGTTTAGTACCTTCGATAACTCAGGGCGACTACTTCGAACCAGAGATATGAATTTACTGTCCAAGATGCCCCTGGCGGTAATCCGTTCCTTGTAATCCCATTTCAGCATCATGTTCATGAGATTCTCAGCTGATCGGGCCATATCTGCAATAAAATCCTATCACTACGCTCTAATAAGGAACTAAACTCATTGTGGTATCTAACTGTTAAAAACACAGTCTTTTTAGAAAATTAATTTAATATTACCTCTCTCCAGGCCTTCATTGAACTCTTTAAATATAACACGACCATGATCAAAATGGCTGTCTTTTAGAATGATTGTCAAATTCTTTAATTTTCTAAATAAAAATTGATCCACTTTTACAGGGTTGGTATCCAATTCCGTCTGAATGCGCTGAAATGTGCAGGTTTAGGATCGATTCAATACACTATAAAAACATTATACCTTGGCTGCTGAGTGCTAGGCGCAATAATTCCTGCTTTCCTGACACTGTTTGAAACAAAAACTGTTTGATCAGATACAACAATTCCGCCCAGTTAATCATGAAAACCTCTTTGTGAGATGGGATTTTGTGCGAAGTAGATTTTAGAAGAATGTTTTAATCTAAGATAGCATTCTCGCCAAGAATGCGAGTGAAGCTCAAAAACCAAAACACAATTTGTAACACCAATCATGGATTCTTCCTTACGTCAAAAAAGACTTGCGGTGGCTTGCCAAGGTATTTTAAGATATTATCAAGAATACTGTCACCATTTGCAAACAAATGCTTTGACGAGACGACGAATCCTAAAATGCAACCCAATGCCCAAATATCATCTGAAAATTGTAAAGGCATTCAAACAGGAAAATAAAAAATAAAAATAAATAATACCGCTGCATATCTTGATATTATGTAGATAGATTAGATGTTATCTACAGATAAGATGGTAGACAGGATATTACAAACTTTGGCAAACGATTAGAACTAACGTAACGATCACATAATGTACAGTACACAATATCTTACTATATATAAAGCGAGACGATATATATATGTGTATATATCCGTGCCATTTTACTGACACCACGGCATCAACTTTAACGCGACTTTCCGCAAAAACCGTAAAACATATACAACTGAAACTTTTTTGACTGGGTCAAATGCTTTAATGGCCTTCAAATCAGCATGAAAAAATAAAAAATTGGCCAAGGAATAATAATTTTAGTGCCCAAAATTTGGACTCTCAAGTGGTGTCAAAAACGCGAATTAAATAAGTAATAATTATTTTAGTCTCTCGAGTCTTGACACCACTTTAGGGTTAGACGGGTTCCTGCTAGTATTATATAATATACACACAATATCTATGGTTTATTACTTTGATTTTTATATTTTGGTCCGAGCAAATGTTCCGGTGCTCGATAAGCAGCAGTCGAGATAGGGGTCGTAATGCTCCCGGAATTGTCTGGTTTCCTCCGAGCCAGACCGAAATCCACGATCTGAAATAATACATCCTGATTAACACTGATTATATTGTTCGTATAATGAAATGTACCAAATCCCAAACCAAATAAATTAAGGAAATTTGCTCTTAGTACATAATATATTGATGTATCATAATATTGAACTTCGATTCCATTTAATTTCCGACAACTATCGATTTACAGGGAGTAAACCTGGTATAAATTTGAAGTTTCATTTGAAGTTAAGTAAATTTGATCATAATTAAACTGTTTGCAATAGTCACACATATGAGTTACCTTGGCACGGCGTATATCACCATTCTTCTCAATACAAACATTTCCTGGTTTTATATCCTGCAAATATCATTTAGCATAATATACAATTATGATTAATACACAACTCATTGAATACCTCCTTCACAGAGTTATTTTCTTGCACGAATGCCTAAACGGTTGTTTCAGCACGGCTAGTTTCGTAACTTGAGTTATGGAGTACATGTTGTGACGAATTAGTAACTATGGAGTACATGTTGTGACGAATTAGTAACTATGGAGTACATGTTGTGACGAATTAGTAACTATGGAATACATACTGTGACGAATTAGTAACTTCTCTATAAATATATAACTAGATAAGTAGAATGTGCTCTATTACTCACCCTGTGAAATATCCCGCACTTGTTCAAATACTGAAAGTAAACAGTTCTGTAAATTTCATAAATAAAATTTGATATTCACTGACAATCAGACAATGATGAGATATGGATTTGATATCACAGAAAATAGTCTGTACTAAGATTAATTAATATTTGCTCACATTCAGCCCACACGCAACATCATGAACCACAACTCCAACGACATCTTTTAACCACACATCCTTCTCAGCAGTTCTATTATTTTTAACATATGTTCCAAGAGTGGTGCCGCAGTGTTCCATGATCAAGTAAACGTATTCTAATAACAAACTTTCCTCGTTACACTTCATGTACACGGAGATCAGATCAACGACCTGTAGCGAAAAAAAACTGATAACAGCATTTAAGAAACTGATTTACTTTTTATGTATTATGTATTTGTTTCTGGAAGACATTATGTTAGTAACAGAAAGACATGAATAAAAACTCAGCAATTCAACATGAGATAGAGTTTGAAAGATGACAACACGAGTAGACGACATAGTTAGCATAGTTTATAAAGAATAAAGAGTCACAGTGCAGTCACAGTGCAGTCACAGTGCAGTCACAGTGCAGTCACAGTGCAGTCACAGTGCAGTCACAGTGCAGTCACAGTGCAGTCACAGTGCAGTCACAGTGCAGCCACACATGAGGTCTTACTTGGTATTCAAGTCCATCTTATTGATCTGATCTGGCTAAAATGATAACTAATAAACGACTCATTGGTTCAGTGAGTCAGATCATAAATGTTGAAAATAGGTTTGTATATATTATCTTTTATTTAAAACAAAAACTTTAAATGAAAGAATGGGAAAAATCTTACTCTTGAATGTTTGGTAAAATTCAGTATTTCCACCTCTCTTAAAACCGATTTAAGATGTGTTAAAGACGGAATCCCACCTCTCATTATTATCTCGATTTCCTTTATCACTCTTAATTTGTTCGTCTTAGAATCCGTACCAGACCTGAAAAGTGAACAGTGCAAGCAGCACAATACTCAGCATGGTATGTGGAGTCACTGTAACGAGTCAGAAAATACGCTTCACCTCCTCACCAGAATCCACATCTATAATCCTGGCACGTAGCCAGGTTGGAAATGGTTACTGCGAAAGTTCAAAGTTATTTGTTAACATTATTTATTTCAGTTACTCAGTAGTGCGAACTGTGAACTCTGTGTAGGTATTTATGATATTTTCAGATAATTGACTGTTCTCACTTGCTATAAATGGATCATATTGCCCTCAAAATATTTTAAAACCGACTTTTTATAAATTGAATATTAAGACTAGTGCATCAATTCATCATTGCAGATTTTATTCTAGCAAGTATAAAAGTCGAAAAAAGTCGAAAAAAGTCGAAGCCCCCTCGGAAAAAAATTCTGGCTACATCTTAAGAGGGGGAGGAGGCACCAACAGGGGGGCGCTCTTTTCCGGCGCCAACATGCAACGTTACGCCACTGCTCCCAACCTCGCCCTGATCTGAGTAGAACTAAAAAATGTAACTTACACAACTGTTCCGAAAGAGCCATTACCAAGAGGTTCTGTGTTGGTAAATATGCTCTCCGAGTTCAAGTAAGGTAAAAACATGTCAACTGTAACATCTTCTTGAAGCTTGATCACCATCCTAGGTAAGGTAGAAGTTATGTAAGGAATCCAGCACACTAGCACAGTGCAGAGTCAGTTCTTATAATGGTATGTGGACTGAGGTCTTCCCACCAACACAAATACATCATTCGATCAAAACCATCATTGTCAGTTATTTAACATATTTTAAGTCGGATAAACAGCAACTTCAAATTCAAAAGTTAGATTTAAACAGTAATTTAAACAATAACATACACTCGGTAAAATAATGTGAGTCTCTGGAATAATGCTATTAATAAATATCTCTTTAACTAAGGTCATGTATTAACTATTAAATAGTCTTTAGGGGCCGTTCACAACCGTAATCAAGACCCAACCCCCCTTCCCCTCCTGACAGAAATATTACGTAATCATGGCCTGACCCCCCTCTTGACTTTTTCCCCGGAAAACACTTTTTTCTAAGTTTCATCATTCATGCTACCCTGATCATGCTATCATGATGACTGATGAGCCGAAATCATTATTATGATATCCGGCCAAGCACCTTCTAAACTAAAACTTGTTCTAGAGGGTAAAAAGAAAATTTTGATTACGTAATCAACGACCAAACCCCCCCCCCCCCGTTATCAACCGTAAGCATTTGGAAACCCCCACCCCCACCCTCGGCTGATTACGTTATATTATGTGAACGACCCCTTTGGATATTACTCTGATACATGCTAATTATTTCATGCCTGTCAATCCCTTTTTTAAATTTTTTTAAAGAGATATTGGATATTACTCTGATACATGCTAATTATTTCATGCCTGTCAATCCCTTTTTTTAATTTTTTTAAAGAGAGGCTGGACCTGGTGGCCCACGAGCGGATAACATGAAGATGCTTGGTGTGGTTAGCGAAATTTAAAATAGGTGTAATATTATGTTGGTTGTAAAATATGTCGTTGACGGAGAGATCATTAGTCCTGAAAGTACTATATATGCAATAGCTGGACACTGTCCGAGGAAGTGTGGGACAGACTCTTCTTCATCGCCGCACATAGGACATGTACTAGTGTTCGATTTGCAGATGGTATGGAGGTGAGACCGCTGAACCGCAGTGTCCTGTGATGAGATGCAGGAGGTCATAACAGTCTAGTGGTTCTGCTCCTCGTGATAATGTGAATATAGATGAAAGCCTGCCGCTTCTCATGATGATGAGTGAGTACTGTGTGTGTGTGTGTGTGTGTGTGTGTGTGTGTGTGTGTGTGTGTGTGTGTGTGTGTGTGTGTGTGTGTGTGTGTGTGTGTGTGTGTGTGTGTGTGTGTGTGTGTGTGTGTGTGTGTGTGGATATTAGTTGAGAGGAGTTTGCAAGTTTCTCTGATAGCTGAGAGTTCTGTCTTATAGACACTAGACAGTGGAGTAATCAGGAAGTTTGAAAGATTGTTCCTCCAGGGTGGTGATGATGTATCCAGTGCAGTAACCTCAGTCTGTGTGTGACCCGTCTGTGTAGCAGGTGATTGTCTCGTTGGGGATGTTGTTGGTGGTGTTTTGTAATGTGTCTCTGTATTTGTTATTATCAGGGGTTGTTACAGTGAAGTAACGATCAGGCATCATGGTCGGTGAGGATAGATCTCTTTCTACTCGAGCGGGTATGTCGAGATCTGACATGAATTGATTGTTAATCATGGTGCACCATAGGAATTCATCGGAGGTATCCTAGGAGAACTGGATCGGCGTAAGGGTTGATAAAATCCGAGATATCTCGGACGCGCTAGGATAAATCGGAGGGTAATCCTATCTGATTAAAATCGCAGAAATCGTCCTTCTGAACAGGCGTGGGTGATGGTGTGCGCCTGCCTGACATTAGACCCACTGCGCGTGCGTGATTTAAGACCTTATACTTATCTAAGTCTGGTTGCTCACATGGCTGCTTCACCTTTCTCTCAATCCCAGTGACCATCCAAAAAGGTTCGTTTCGATTAATTGCATCGGGCAGTGATGTGAAATCAAAATCATCATCCCTTGTGGGATTTCCCAACCAACTCAATGGATAGTAAAATATGCCATCCCATCCAATTAAATGAAGACTTTCAGCTTTCATTTCATGATGAAAATGAACGCCTGTATCGAGGTAGTCATGTGGGTCATCAACCAAAACTATTCTAAAATATTTGCTGTACCCAACAGTTCTTGAAACTACCTTGAGAATAAAACCACATTTTCCAGCCCCACAACAAAGTTTGTCTGGTTCGTGCTCGTAAGTGAAGATAATCTTACGATCCTCAACAAATACAGAGTTCAAGGAATGTTTCTGGTCAGATATATATGTTGTTAACGTTTGTCTTCCTTCTTGAATACTGGTGTCAATGATATCCTTGTTAAACTTGATGCAGTTAAAAAATCCCCGATGTCGTGCATCAACTTTGAAATTAAGATACCAAAATCGAATAGGGGTCCACCCACGAGATTTCATGATATCCCATATTGTTTTAAGTAGTTGTGAATCTGCAGCTGGAAAGGTTACCGGCTCATTAACTTGAAACCACATCCATATTCCCTCAAAAAACATTAGCAAACTCGATACTTTCTTTGAACAGCCAAGCCAATCAATTAATTCAATGAGGGATCGATCAGTATCAAATGAGTGGAACAAATTTGGAATGACGTTTTGTAAGGTTAACTTCGACATTCCTGAGGAAGTTGAGGGACGTTCCTCAGCACTAGAACTTGAGGGCTGCATTCTTGCTGGTCTCGTTGAGGAATTGGAACTCCTCTTGTAGAACTTTTTTACAAACTGTAGTACCCAAAACAAATCCTCACTAGAACCTATGGCAAGGCCTTCAATGGTCTCGAATAAAATTTCAATCATGTATATTTTGTTTGCCTTCATACTTGCTAGGTCACAATTTTCAAGCAAATATTTACAGTTAGAGGGAATCCCAGTTTCCTTTCCTTCCTTTAACATATTGGATAACTTTGCAGACAATGGCTCAACAATAAAGTGAACATCTGACCCAACTAGTTCAATAATCAAGTCCAGTTGTTGGCACGTAAGTGAACCCAGGTTCTGCAGATAGCGACCTGTAAACATTCGTCTGCATTTCAGTGTTTTAAACCTCCGAAAAACAATATCTACCAATTCACGAGTCTTCAACTTGAACAGAGCGAACATGGCTATTTCGAAAATTGGCAGCAGATCAGGGAAGGAGGGGTCCTGGAGAATGAGGTTAGTGAGATCAGTGAACTGTTCCACACACCTGGTCACCAACCATGTCACTTTGAACACGTGACTCATCTTAAAAATATCACTGAATATTTCTTTGAAGATTGGTGGTGTTTCTCCAGTGTAAGCAGCATGGACAAAATATCTCACAGCTACTTCGCTGAACTCCTCCATGTCCAAACTAGTCAGATGAAGAGTTGTGGTCATGTGATCTACAACTGGACTGTTGAAGGACAGGATAACTGAACTAGCTCGAACTTTAGCTCCGTTTTTGGCTGTCAGCTCCAGAGTACTGTGGGTAGGAGACTCCAGCAGATGAATCCCAAAGTTCATTGGAACTGATACGATGGGTGCCATTTCTTTAGCTGTCCTAAGAAAGTATTTTATTATATAGTCGAAGAATAGTAATTTGAAGAGGCTTATTGTAAGTAAGAACTTAATAATTACACGTACTAGCAAACCCACTCGGAATTTTGATATTTAAACAAAAATTCAAAAAGTGTATGCCAACTTGAATATTTCATAAGAACATAATTAGGAAAATGTCCATTTGTTGATTTTGTAGATAACAACTTAACTTGCAGACAGAGTATTATAATTGGACGTGTTCAAACCTGGTTGGTGGTTTTGTTTCATTTTTCCCACTCATTACTTCTGGGCCCCCAGATTGAAATCTGTAACATTTTAGGAAAAACTGAAACTACTGACAAAAACTAGACCCTTTGACTGAGGGCACCCTTGAACCAGAATTTTTGTAACATATTCAGGTCCTGAGATATAGCAGTTTAGTTGGGGGCCCTGGATATTGAATTTTGTAACACATTTCTATGTTACACTTTTTCAATGGGTTTTTAGAGAAGCTTCTTGATAGTTTTTCAAGTTCAGACCAGTTTTTCTAGGTCACAAAGGGTTCCTTCAACCATATTCCTGACCGAATCTTGTACTTGGGCCCAAAACATTGAATTCTGTAACATATTTATGTTTTCACTGCCAAGGTCATATCTGGAATATTCAATATATTTTTGTATCGGTAACATGGTTTTTAGATTCTCGTACAAAATTCTGAAGCAATCCTTATTCATATAATTTGATAAAATGGCTGCGGAACTTGAATTATGTAACATTAGAAAGTAAGTGTATAGAGTATGTACCCTAGTGTGAGGGGTGTTAGGTAAGCTATATTATAGTTTTTGAAGTTCAGACCAGTTTTTCCAGGTCACAAAGGATTCCATCAACCATATTCTTGACCAAATTTTGTACTTGGGCCCAAAACATTGAATTTTGTAACATATTTATGTTTTGACTACAAAGCTCATATATATCTGGAATGTTCAATATATTCTTGTACTGGTAACATGGTTTTTAGATTCTCATACAGAATTGTAAAGCAATCCTTATTCGTATAATTTGATAAAATGGCCGCGGAACTTGAATAATGTAACATTAGAAAGTAAATATATAGAGTATAGTATATAGTATGTATCCTAGTGTGAGGGGTGTTAGGCAAGCTATATTATAGTTTTTAAAGTTCAGACCAGTTTGCCTAGGTCATAAGGGTTCCATCAACCATATTATTGACCATATTTTGTAGTTGGGCCCAAAACATTGAATTTTGTAAGTCCACAGATGGACATGGAACTCTGCCATTTCAGTGGATCAACTCGTGACCTGGCATTTTATTGTGACAAATTTCAATATATAGGGCCCAATTTCTATTTTCTATACAATTTTATATATAAATTAAAAGTTTTTAAATATCCAACCTTTAATCTAATTAGCTATATTCATTTGATTAAATTCACCGCGTTCTGTCGCGGATTGTCAATTTAAATTACATTA